CATGGGCTACAGTTTGAAGGATTCGTGAAAGTGACGGGGACACTGTCCAACTTACAGGTCACCGGCACCCTGCCTACCGTAATAAACATACTTGCTGAGTACTTCAATACCTGGTAAGTCTCGGTTGACTCACTACAGTATGGGCGACATACTTGGTATACGCTCCTTACCAATAAAAAACATATACAAGACTAGTAAACGTATAGATAACTTAATAGTTATGGATAAATTAATGAAGATATATATACAATTTAATGATTATAGACAACTTATGCTATGGTAGTAACATGTATAAATAAGTTTATGAGCATACAGTAGTGGACAGCTGGTGATAGTAATGACGTGCCCGGTAGTGTGCAGTACGTGGTGCCCGAGGATGGGCTCTACGGCGTCAGGCTGGACAACGGCAGCTGGTCGGGACTCATGGGTTTATTCAACCGCAGGGTGAGTCCAATAGCTCCTGCTAGGATCTTCAACTGCGTCTCCGTTTAGTACCCAATATGTCCGTGGCAGCAACCTCTTTTGTGTATGTTCTTTACCGGCGATAAAATGGTTGACATTTGCAAAATGGTTTCCTCTGTTACATGTAAAAAACTGGAGTTATTTAGGAAGTCAGTATAGGTTGAACAGGTAGCTTATGAAAATTATGAGTGTATTTCATTAACATATAAACAGAGAAGTATGATAGTCAGTAACACTGCAAATATTTTTCAAATGTTGTACGATATTATCAAGTAACCCATTGAACATATATAATATTAAGTACGGTAAAGAGAATGTTTGGTTTTGCAGGAGGTAGACATCAGCGGGGTGTTCATGAACTTGGACTCACTGAGGCACACTGTGGTAGAGCCCACTGTGCCCCTCTACGCCGACTCCCAAGTCCTCTTCTACTTGAAGCCCAGCAGCCAGGCAGACATCTCTGGGTTCATCAAGCCTTTTACTTCTCTGGTAACTAATTTTGTTTGTTCACACACACACACACACACCTACTACTTACTTTGCTGTCACTCGGAATCGAGTATGACGATCATCCAGCGAAGATACTATGATATGAGTTATTAAGGATGTCACATTCGTTGATGAGTTTTAAGGTGACTAAAGAGGCCGATACGGGACCGGCAGGGTCGTTCATAGATGTTGCACATGTGGATGGCTACATCTAGTGCGGGAAGGACAGCGGCAGCGTCTTTCCGGCCTTGGCACTTGTCTGCCTCGGTTTACAGTTGGGCTAATTCGAAGGTGTTGACACCTTTTAATGTAGTGCTCCTCCATGCATTACGGTGTGGAGTAATCTTCTCCCAGGTGAAGGGGTCGATTTGGCACTTTTTCAGGTTTGTCTTTAAGACTATCCTTATACATTTTCAGTTGCCCGCCAACGTTACGTTTACTATTCGTTAGGTGACTGTAAAGTAGCTGCTTTGGCAGTCTACTGTCATCCATGCGGGTAAGAATGCCAGTCCAACGTAGTTGTTAAAGGATAACGGTAGCCTCGATGCTCCTACAGCTGTTGTCAGCGCGAATACTGGCATCTGTTCTCTTGTCTTCACAGTGAACTCGGAGGATGGAAAGTAGACTATAATGGTGAAAGATTTCAAGTGCCTTGAGGTGCCTCCTGTATGTGACCCATGTCTCGCTGCCATACAGCAGGGTGGGGAGGACCACTGCTCGATATACGTGCAACTTAGTAGATAGTTTCAGCTCCCTACAGCTGAAAACTCGGGTACAGAATCTGTCAAAGGCTTGAGAAGTACATCTGATCAGATGTTGAATCTCTTCATCGATGTCTACAGTGGTGAACCGAAAGTGGGTAACATTCGAGAGGGTAGTACCATTGAGCAGGGATGGATGGTGGAGGAATGGCTAAACCAGGGGCAGATTTTTAAGAGAATTTGAGTCTTACGTACATGCCTTGGGAATCTGGAATGTGGCTTAGGTAAAGCACTTTGCTTCCTCGTCTGGGAGCCGGCACTCACTAATGGCTGCTATGTCGATGTTATACCTAGCCAGCTCTTTTGCCACAAGGACGGTTCTTCTTTCAGGATGCTCATTTATGCCAGTATCCAAAAGAGTTCTGACATTCCTGGCAGCGACCATAAGAGGTTGCATAGTTTGTTTTTGTTTGGGTCTTTGATTATGATTGTGTTTTCGACCACATAAGGATGACCTTACTGGGTGAGCACAGTGGCTCCTCGAAAGGGCTGTCCAGTCGCACAGACAGGACAAGATTGCACTGCTGCCTAGATCCCAGTGCATAAATGACCATCCATCCAGCTTAATGGCACTACCCTCTCCAATGTTACCCGCTTTCGGTATCTCGGCTCCCACCTGCCCACCACTGCAGACACCGATGAAGAGAGTGAACATCAGATCAAATGTGCATCTCAAGCCTTTGGTAGACTCCGTACCCGTGTCTTCAACTGTAGGGAGCTGAAATTACCTACAAAGTTGCACATATATCGAGCAGTGGTCCTCCCCACCCTGATATATGGCAGCAAGGCTTGGGTCACCTAAAGGAGGCACCTCAAGGCACATGAAAACCATCACCAATGTAGTCTACGTTCCATCCTCCGAGTTCGCTGGGAAGACAAGAGAACAAATGCCAGCATTCTCGCTGACACCAACTGTAGAAGTATTGAGGCTACCACTTGGAGGAGCACCACACGAGAAGGTGTCAATACCTTCGAGCTATCCCGACTGCATACTGAGGCAGAAAGCGCCAACGCCGGAGACACAGCCGCCGCCCCTCCCGCACTTGATGTAGCCCTCCACACGTACAACATCTGTGAACGACCCTGCCGGTCCTGTATCAGCCTCTTTAGTCACCTCAGAACTCACCAATGAAGGTGACATCCATAATAACTCATATCATTGTGTCATAGCTGGATGATCGTCATACTCGATTCCGAGTGACAGCAAAGTAGTAGTAGTGGTGTAAATGGTGATGTGTGGTAGGAGTATTACTCGTGTAAATGGTGGTTTGTGGCGGGTGAAGTACACTACAAAAATTGTAGAGTATAAAACAGGTATTTTAGGGGAAAAGGGTACAATTAATTGGGCATTAAAGCCCGTGCGTAACACCATGCGTAAGGGAAATGCAACGGAGGATCCTGTGGTATGGGTAGTGGATTGTGGTACACGACGTACCCCGCCTTACTACCCCACAAACTAGTCGTGTTGTGTGGTCATCTCATAGTATGGCCACACTGTCAGGCCCCTCCCCAACCTTCACCCATCTCCCGCGTGCCTCTCGCCTGTATACATTAATACTTGGTGACTTCTCTTTACTATAATGTAACGCAAAATATTAAAATACACTGATATTTATCGCGATGATTTTCCAGTCGTGGGTGGCCATACTGGTATCGTTGGTGGTGGTGTTCGTAGCCATGTTGTTGACTCAGGTACTGGAGGGCCACTACCGCGCACCAAACACACACACCAACAATAAGTTGTGAGTGGTACAGTCATCTCACTCACGCTTCTTGTGAGAAGTTTTTGTCAAGTAAAGTTTTAAAATACATCACAATTGCCTTTTAATCTAAGAAATATGACGTCATGGACATGTTCCTTTTTCATACATATTCCTTTTATACACTAAGTTAGAGGTTTCTTGAATCTTGCAACAGATTATATTTGTTCTCAACTTTCACAAATTAATTCACACCACAAGATCTTTCATGCGTGACTAATATTATAATATAATGCTTAATATAATTTATTCTGCTATGATATGCATTCTGACACGAGTTAAACGTTTTCAAATTACTTCCACATGTTGTGATAGTTTTCGATTCAGCAGAAAGAGTCGCGACGAGATGGCTGATGAGAGGAAGAGTTCAGAAGACCCCGTGTGGACCTCGTGGCTGTGGTCACTGGCGACTTTCCTGGCTCAGTGTAAGTGATGCATCTCTTAGTTACCACGTATACTGTTCATAAAAGTACTCCTAAAACAATTTGACTACGTTCTTTGCAGTTGTTGCTAAAACCAAAATATTGCAAATGACGTAAGCATGAAGAATCAATAGTGGAGTACGGTTGCTGGCTGTGTGTTAAGTAATTATTAGAAATACAGTACGTGCACCCAGTTAGTATTTCAGGAATTCTCTTTTCACTTGACATCTTGGAAACAAGGCTCTTTGAGGAGTCATTACCCTGCTCAGTCTTTGACTGATTAAGGCAATACCTTCCATAACGAACCTCTCATGTGGTCTGTGAAATCCCACGTAATCCATTTATATTTGTTAGTATAACTCATGAGGGCAACATGTCCCTGAAATATTCGCACTGTTAGTCACGGGACGTGGGCATGTGAGTGTATCAGTAATGTATAATGTAACAGAAAGGCGTGGTGTACCTGACAGCCTCGCCGTGGTTGCCGCGAGGTCCAGGACTGCGGACGGTGGCGGGCATGTGGCTGGTGATATCATTGGTGGTCAGCACGGTCTACAAGTCCAACTTGAAGGCTATGATGATCCTGCCTAAGATGCGCCTGCCCTTCACCAATCTGGAAGAGCTGTTGGAAACGGACATTCTCTGCCACATAGCAGGGTCCACCCTCATCCACCACACCATCATGGTCAGTTACCTCATCACTATACATGAAGAAACTTTTGAATGACTGCAGTTATTAATCTTCATTTTATATTTAAAACTTTAATCACATTTTTTTCGCAATAGTTTACCCACCCACCCACCCACCAAAACCACCACTACTACTTTGCTGTCACTTTGAATCGAGTATGGCGATCATCCAGCTATAATGCTATGATATTAGTTATTGAGGATGTCACCTTCGTTGCTGAGCTCTGAAGTGACTTGGGAGGGCGATAGGGGACCAGCAGGGCCGTCCACAGATATTTCACGTGTGGAGGGCTACATCTAGTGTAGAAAGGGCGACGGCAGCATCTTTTCAGCGCTGGTGCTTGTCTACCTCGGCATGCAGTCGGCTAACTCGAAAGTTCTGACACCTTCTCGTGTGGTTCTCTTCTAAGAGTTACGGTATGGTGATTGTCTCCCAGGAGTGGGGTCGATTTGGCACATTTTCAGATTTGTCTTACAACTATCCTTGTACCTTTTCTGGTGCCCGCCAGCGTCATCGTTACCATTCGCTAGGTGATTGTAAAGTAGCTGCTTTAGCAGTCTGTCGTCCATGCGGATAACATGACCAGTCCTGCGTAGTTGTTCATGGATAATGGTAGCCTCGATGCTCCTACAGTTGGTGTCAGCGAGAATACTGGTATTTGCTCTCTTGTCTGCCCAGCGAACCTGGAGGATGGAATATAGACTACGTTGGTGAAAGGTTTCGAGTGCCTTGAGGTGACTCCTGTATGTGACCCATGTCTCGCTGCCATACAAAAAAAACGGAGAGGACCACTGCTCGATATACGAGCGACTTTGTAGATAATTTCAGCTCCTTACAGCTGAAAACACGGGTATGGAGTATGCCAATGGCATGAGATGCACATCTGATCCGATGTTGAATCTCTTCATCGATGTCCGCGGTGGTGGACAGGTGGGTGCCGAGATACTGAAAGTGGGTAACATTAGAGAGGGTAGTACCGTTAACCTAGATGAATGGTGAAGGTGTGGTTGATCCAGGGACAGGCTGAAAGAGAATTTGAGTCTTACGTACATTCACCTCAACGCCGGCTAAATTGGCACTGGCATGAGTAAAGAAGGTAACCAAGAAAATGCAAAAGAAGGTTGATCAATGTTGTGCACATCCTTGTTTTACCCCCATTTGGATGGGGAAGAACTCAGACTGGGTGCCATTATACAGGACACCGCCGCTCAGGGCATCGTGGAGTTGCCTCACAATGGCACTGAATTTTGGTGGGCAGCCAAAACGGCTGAGGTTCCGCCAGAAGGTTTTCCTGCTCGACTGGGAGTCCATCAGGCCCTGCGACTTTGTTATTTTTCATCTGTTTGATGGCAGTAGCTACCTCATCCAGGGATCGAGGATGGCTGAGGTGGGTCTGCTCTGAGTGTTGACGGATCTGCTGGGTAGTCAGGACTTCCACATCGGTGTTTCGGTTGAGCAGCGAATGGTAGTGCTCTTTCCAGTCCTGGAGGTTATCTTCTTCGTCTTTCATTAGGGAGTTACTGTCAGCTAAGCGGAGGGGTCTACGCCATGAGTAGCTGGGCCTTAACACTTTTTTGTCATTAACAAATTTTATGTAGGCAAAATAATGCTGAATGATTGTTGTTGTGCATGTTTTTTAATCCTTGATGACTCTCCCCAGTCTTCTTATCCTTGTCCTGTTTTGTTCCGTTCTTTCCTCCTCATGTCCTCCTCTCGTCTGGACAGGAAGCTAAGCCCGGGTCGCTGTTCTTTCGGCTACAGAAGCAAATGGTGGTACACAATGACATGGCCAAACTTATAGTCGACGGCCTGGCTGGGAAATATGCCGGCTTAAGCAGCAAATATGGGTTGATGTCCGTTTTGCACTACCTCTTCCTGCAGGTGAGGTACTCGCCAAACGGTGCTGAAGGAGAATGTCTCAGTGCATGGATGTATATATTCCTGTTACAGTTGGTTAAGTTTGCTGGAAGACTTCACACGTGTAATTATTTTCCTACAACCTTTTGAATAAAAATTGTTGAACATTACTGTATACTCCAGAGCTGGACTGACGTCTAATATCACGTGTCGTTCTCAGACCAGGAGCTGCAAGATATTTACAGGCACTGACACATATCTAGCCGCCATGCCCTTCTCCTTAGTCGTGCCCCGCGGCTCTCCCATCAAGGCCAAGGCAGACACTATGTGAGTACCTGTGTTTGTATTTATATAATGAACTCTATCTCTCTCGGCAAAGTTTTGTAATCTATGAGATATAAGTAAGTAGAAGCCTCCTATCTGTTACAGCTTGAGTCGGTTGAAGGAAAGTGGCATTATCACTTACTTACTGAATGAGAAAATCCGCTATGGTATCGAATGTCTCAAGAGGAACACAGAGCCCGCCAATTCTGGCAGCTCCCTCAGACCCCTCGAACTGCGTGACTTCTACGGGGTGTTCGCCGTGTATGGTGGAGGTGAGGGTGCTTTACTAATCTTCTTTCCTACACATAAATACAAACATACACACCTATATTCATACATATGTATACAATTATTCAGAGTAATGAAAACATATTTATGTTGTTGTTATACTAAAGGTGAGTCAGGTGCCAGCTTACGAAGCTTATTAGCATCATTCAGTAAATCTTTCATTCTACGTCACATTAATTTTGAAAGATCAGGGAAATAATAATATGCCCATGAATTCACAACCATTCACTTTATAGACTAATTGGATGACCCGCGTAACCTTGCTACGACTTGTAATATTTCAACGATAATTTACATTCACTTGAGATGCTTCCACGGTTGTAATTAATTAGAAATTTTGTAAAATTTACCATAATTTCTTCCCCAGGGATTGTGCTTGCTATCCTGGTCTTCTGTATGGAGATGCGTATCGCCATTTATAGGCCTCGGTACTAGCTCGTGCACCCAGCGTCACCTCTAACCTGCAAGAGTTGTGTTGGTGCATCCACAAGTCAACACCGATACTTAGCGGCCATATTTCTTCACCCAAACGTAGTCTTATAACATATCATAAATTGACTCGACCTTTAGAAGAATGTTTTAACCAATACTATGTTCCACACATTTCTTACGTTAGCAATTGGTGATTACATTAAAGTATAATTTTTTTTATAACGAAGTCACTAACCACTCCACTTACATTGTTTTCTCCTGATATGATACTAATATATTTTACTCTATTTTTTCATAAAATTCCTCGTGTGTGTGTGTGTGTGTGTGTGTGTGTGTGTGTGTGTGTTGTCACTCACAGTGTACGGACATTCATTTCTTCTTGTCATAATCTTGCCCACTGTGTTAGCAAATAATAATAATAACTAATAGAATCTACACAAAGAGACTAATTGGACTACATTCTGTGTATTTAAAATTATATAATTAAATATCATATGCATAAAAACGTAGTTTCTCTGATAACTCCTACATTTATAACCAGTCCTGTTCATCGAGCTGATGGCGCCGTGAACCTCATTGGGAACTGTCCGTGCCTCGTATGTGGTGTCAGTAGCATTTTACCGAATCTAGCTGGTATGAAGCACGAGGTACCATATATATACTTCATTTTTAGTCCATATAACACGCGGACTTTGAACATATAATCAACGACCTCACCAGCCAGGAATCGAACCTGCATGTATGACAAATGAGTTTTAAAACGAGTTCTAGAAGAATGAGAGAAATTGCATGCTGACATCAACTAATGGGCCATTTCTGCTTCAGAAATGGCAAAATTTTTAATTGGATTAACCTCAACTACAGGTATATCCGACATAATTCGATGTTTTCGTAGCTCCTCTATAGCGCTGCGCTGTCTACACAGTGTGATGGAATCCATCATTAACACAGATCACTTGCTAGAGAGCGATATATTCCAACAAGAACAGTGAGAATAAGAAACGTATGAAGCAGTACCAGCACCACCTGGAGGTCGTGAGGGCGGGAGTCCCCGGTATAACATCAACAGGAAACTGGAGATCCCCAAATTACCCACCACCTGCATTATGTAACACTACTGTACCTCTCTATATATATTACACACACACACACACACACACACTGTGATAATGTGACAGAGGCAGAGAGAAGGAAGTCGGAACATTTACTGAGATAACGCAACTGTATCACATTGTGTAGAGTTATGTGCATAAGATTATACAAAATCTACAGCTGTTTCACTCCAAACTCACTATTATTACCTCAACCTCTTACATGCGCTGTAGCTAAAAAAATATGTGAATTCCGACATTTTGTCATAAAATTTCATCCGTCATTTATTATTGTAAATTCATTTTTATTCCCGGAGCAGATGTGTACCGGCTTCGATATACCTTTTCACAACACTTCTATATATCCATTTGATTTAACCTTGTCACGCTACGCTCTCCACTCATTCATGCTCCCTTCTGCTTCTCTTCTCCCTCCCTCAGTTACTCTCTGCTCTAATTCACTACTTATCGTTCCATTTGCTGACAGTCTCTCTGCCCTCCTTATTTTCACACACTTCCTTTTTGTCCTTACATTCACTATGAACTTTCCACTTGTACACACTCTTCATACTTCATTCACTATCAGTTGTAACTACTCCTTGGGTTCACTCACTATAACACTACCATACGAAGGCAGCAGTTCATTTACCTCCCACCCATTTACATCCCTCTCTTAGCACCCGAGCCATGTAAATATTAAACAACCATGATATCATTTTGTATATGAGGCATGATCCTGCTTTCACTGGGAACTCGTTTCCAGCTTCACCCCGTTTAAAAAAACTGGCTGACATTCAACATTTTCACTTTTAACCCAGAAATTTTCAAATTATTTTTAGGTTAACTCGTATACTATTTATATCAAAGAAACTCTTCCTGTCCTCCAGAGACCTGTACTAATTCATTCATTATAACAGAACTTGATCCTCACATCCCCTTAGTATTCTGCAATTCTTACATTCCTTGTTATCACGTTATCCTTTACACAGGACTCTATACGTGATCTCTTGCTGCCCTTCCCCCTATCAAATATTTTCTGCACAATCTGTCACTATTCTACCTTCCATCCTTAACATATCAACGGTGAATCCAACCACTGTAGCTTCCCGACCACCAACCTCACCTCTCCTGTGTTGTTTATCCTCTTTTCTTCTGAACATATTAATCTTACACTTAGCAATTGTTTAAAAATGTCTCCCCATCTACATTTCACTTACTGTATTTATCATCCCTGCATTGCATCTCCTCTTACGTTCTTCAAGCGTCACGTTCATTGGTTCGCTTGGTTTTCTCATCCAATTTAAATCCCTCCAGAACACGTAACAACCTTTCCCTCGCCATTTATCTTTTCATCTCTTCTCTTGCATTTTTTTCGTCACTCTCTTTATTTCCTTTGTTATATGTTTATACTCCAACCTTCTTTTATCTTTCCTGTAAGTATCACTCACATGTCCTCCTCTCCGCCTTAGTGAGTACCGCCACGGTCTCGGCTACAATCTATTTATTTTAGCTCAATGACTTTAATAACTTTTGTCTCACTTTTACCCTGAACCTTCCAATCACTTATAATAATCTCACTTCTATACCAGTCAAATCGCGTCAAGCAACTTATATTTCATTCTTCTGTTCACCAATGCATCTTTTATCAATTCACTATCTCCCACTATCTCTATTATATACTTGTGCATTACCAATATTAACCCTCTATCAGTACATATTTTTATGAATTATTTCATTCGACGACCACTTCTCTATCATTAACTCCTGCATTTAAATCCTCAAGCTCTCTCTTACACGCTAAAGTTTTCAATACATTCACTCCTGCTCCAGTCCAGTATACTAAGGGGGAGGGTGTGTGTGTGTGTGGCAGGTGTGGGGTGATGTTGGGGCAGCAGGGGAGGGTGTGTGTGTGGCAGGTGTGGGGTAATATTGGGAGTAGGAGCAGGGGGAGGGAAGGTGTGTGTGTGTGTGGCAGGTGTGGGGTGATGTTAGGGGTAGGAGCAGGGGAGGTGTGTGTGGCAGGTGTGGGGTGATGTTGGAGGCAGCAGCTGGGGAGGGTGTGTGTGTCTGTGTGTGTGGCAGGTGTGGGGTGATGTTGGGGGCAGCAGCTAGGGGGAGGTGTGTGTGTGGCAGGTGTGGGGTGATGTTGGGGGCAGCAGCAGGGGGAGGGTGTGTGTGTGGGTGTGTGTGGCAGGTGTGGGGTGATGTGGGGTCAGCAGCTGGGGAGGGTGTGTGTGTGTGGGGTGTGGGGTGATGTTTGGGGCAGCAGAGGAGGGTGTGTGTGTGTGGCAGGTGTGGGGTGATGTTGGGGGCAGCAGCAGGGAGGTGTGTGTGTGTGGCAGGTGTGGGGTGATGTTGGGGGCAGCAGGAGGTGTGTGTGTGTGGTGTGTGGGGTGATGTTGGGGGCAGGGGAGGTGTGTGTGTGTGTGTGTGTGTGTGTTGGGGCAGCAGCAGGGATGTGTGTGTGTGGGGTGTGGGGTGATGAGGGGAGGGTGTGTGTGTGCAGGTGTGGGGTGGGGTGTGTGTGTAGCATGTGGAGGGAGGGTGTGGTGTGTGTGTGTGTGTGGGGTGAGAAGGCAGCAGGGAGGGCGTGTGGCGGTGTGGGGGGTGATGTTGGGGCAGCAGGGAGGAGGTGTGTGTGTGTGGGTGTGAGATGTGTGGGGGGGGGGCAGCAGGGGGAGGGCGTGGCAGGTGTGGGGGGTGATGTTGGGGCAGTAGCTAGGGGAGGGTGTGTGGCAGGTGTGGGGTGATTGTTGGGGGCAGCAGCAGGGGGGGGAGGCGTGGCAGGTGTGGGGTGATGTTGGGGCAGCAGGTGGGGGAGGGTGTGTGGCAGGTGTGGGGTGATGTTGGGGGCAGCAGCTAGGAGAGGGTGATGTGTCTGGGGTTTCACAGCCATAAAATCCCACCGGGAAACATCTCACCACACAGTTTCCCCAAGAGAAAAATTCCATCACCAAAACAGGAGTTTACAAACTACTTCAACGTCGGTCTTTTTGTCAAGTGTGATAGAATAATTCAGGTAGGATTAGGTGTTTATTAATGGTTTATGGTAGTGTAGGGACCCACACAGCTAGTGGAGTTTTCATTATATATTTCCCAACTTTGTATATCGACCTGTAAATCGAGGCATGTCCTGTTTGGTTAATCATGTCTGTTATCACCTGCAAATAGTGTACCATGTGAGACAATGTTCACTATGAGGGGGTCGGTGGTGTTATACTTCATGTGAGCAAGACACTAGACGTGTGAACCAACTCGTTTGTATATAAACATCACTTTTGTCCGAGCGTCCACTTCCGTGTAGACGCCAGATGACTTCCTCAAACACTGTACTAAATTGTCTAGTCTATAATTTGAAATTGTGCATCTTGTTAAGATTAATCACGTACACAATACTAGGAGAGCAAATTAAAAGGCTCTAAATGACTTAGATGAGGAGTAGGTGTCAGGCCGTCTGTAGGGCTCCCCTACCTGGACTTCTTATTATGTAAAAGTTGTTAGGTTAGGTTATATAATTAATGTCAACTTAGACTAGGTCCATTCCTTTGGTTAAGATGCTCGGATTAGGGATTTCAGTTAAATTATTATAGTAGCTTCAATTAGCTTATTTTAAGTTAACCAGTCCACCGAAGCGAGGAACTGAACGTGTGTTAGCGACAGCGTGTGACGCCACCACCCGTGAAGGAGGTGGTCCGGGTCACGCTGTGTTGGCCCTTCTAACTCCAGGAAAATACTTGATGTTATATTCCTATTATTCTTTGGGGTGGGGGGGGATTTTTGTGAATTACATGATAAAAACCTGGCCAGCCATCCTACATCTTATCACGTAAAGGTTTATATGATTTTAACAAAGAATATATATATATATAGATATATATATATATATATATATATATTTCATTAGCCCAATAAAGCACGCGGACTTCTACATACAATCAACACCTCAACCCGCCAGGATTCGAACCCACGGCCCACAAGCCTATGACTGTGACCGGGGAACGCTAACCGCTGGACCACCAGGATACTAAAAGCAGTCCTAGACTTTGTTATATTTCACACAAAGCCTGTTCAACGAGCTTATGGCGCCGTGAACCTCTAATGGGGACCACCCGTATCACTTAGGTGGTCAGAGTAACGTTTTACCAAATCCGGCTTCGAAACACGAGGATCCATATATATTTCATTAGCCCAATAAAGCACGCGGACTTCTACATACAATCAACACCTCAACCCGCCAGGATTCGAACCCACGGCCCACAAGCCTATGACTGTGACCGGGGAACGCTAACCGCTGGACCACCAGGATACTAAAAGCAGTCCTAGACTTTGTTATATTTCACACAAAGCCTGTTCAACGAGCTTATGGCGCCGTGAACCTCTAATGGGGACCAC